GTTCTATAGGCGAGATGAAGGAAGAGGGGGGGAGGAGGGGGGGGAGGAGGAGGAGAAGGAGAAGGAGAAGGAGAAGGAGAAGGAGAAGGAGAAGGAGAAGGAGAAGAAGGAGAAGATCACTTGCTAAGGACAGACCAGCAACGTGAAGCTGCTTCTGCAAAAGCCGAGTGACACCATCTCGTCTTCACTTACCGCTGGGCATGAGTTCCATCACCAGTTTGGGATAGGCGATGTTGGCGCATCCAACTTCTGCTCCACAGACTTGAGTGCATTCTTCTGGATCAACACACCCAACAGCATCTGAAATCCACACACACATGGGGAACCCTCAGCTTACTGGGCCTCTAGCCATGGGCTACACTAGAGTAAGGCCCACCTGCTCCCAAGACCTGGAGGCCAAAATCAGTTGCATTGGATACATGGGATCCAGCACCACTGAAGATATTTCCATGCCATGTACAGGAAGGTGCAAACTGAAGACACAGTTCTCCAAGGTGGAAAAACAGTTCCTGGTCTCCTGCATCACTGGAGCCGTATGTCCAACCTCCAGTCTCAACATCTCCTCCTTCCAGCTCCCTTTGGGTTGCTTTTCATCTTGATACACCCTCCTTAAAACATCTCCCCTCGGGACCTTCTTTCTCCCCTCTTGTCTATGACCAACAACAATCTTCTGGTCCTCTTGGAATACACCCACCCCCGACTGAAACCAGTTCAAGCGGACATCTAAATCACAGGGTCCAAGTGCCACAGCAACCAGTGCAGACCCCCAGAAAATGTGCCTTCAAAGCAGGCACAGGAGGGAGGGACGCAGAGAAGGTCCCCTCCCAAGCTGGGCTCTGCTGCCATTCAGAAATTATGCCTAAGAAAAGCCAGTCCTTGCCAGAGAAAAGGTCCTCATTCCTAGATTGTGTACGTGACCCCTTCTCCACCACCCCCACCCCAAAACCCATCCCCAAACTCACTCCTCGAAAGGACTGGCTAAACCACAAAGCTCTGCCCCCTCCCAATAAACAGATGCTCTAATCTCTCTCTC